GACTAAATGTCATCAGTTTTCGTCGACTAAAACTAGACGAAAATGTCATCAGTTTTCGTCGACTAAAATTAGACGAAAATAGTCATGGATAATTCTGACTAAAATAAGACTAAAATGCTCAGACTTTTAGTTGACTAAAACTTGACTAGACTAAAAAGAGTATGAACGTGACTAAAACTAATAAAAACTAAAATGACAGCTTCACACAAAGACTAGACTAAAACTAAAATTAAAACAGGCCGCCAAAAACAACACTACTTAAGAATAAGCGTGCACAAATTAGTGAGATTGTGTGAACTTAATTTGTCGTTTATGGAACCGCTTTAGCCCCGATTGATTTGTTATGTAATTTCAAGTCAGGTTTTGGACTTTAATCCCAGTTTTTTCCCGGGTCTCCGTGGTGTTGTGATTCATCATATTCACGCAGCAGCGGTGATGATGAGAGAACACGCTTGACAAACAAATACATAGATCACAGATTATTGGTCACTTTCTAAATAATAAAAGTATAGCGCATCCACTAGTAATTATATATAAATAAATCGTTTTTTACCAATGCAAATATGTTAGAAACGATGCATCGCGAAACAAATGCCGACTTGTAGCCGATACACACTTTTTAAACCGATGCATCGCAACGTTAACTTTTTATGCTGATGCACCGAGCGAATCGGGGAACCTTCCCATCCCTATTACACACACATACATTGAATTGTAATACATAGTACTGAACATGATAAAAGTATCATCTATAATGTAACTATTAGACTTATAAAATATGATAGTACATATGCTATTTATTTTATACTATTATTATATATGTAGAATTACTAATATATAGTATTACTAACTTACAAAATAGTGTAATAGTTTAGTACTGTTTGGTATTTTTTTTATATTTCATAGAAGAGTGTTTTACCATTCTGTTAACAGAGATATTAGACAGGGTGTTAGAAAAATCTAAATTGCATTTTATGTTCGGTTCCACACTATAATATTAATATAATATAACAGTCTCAAACACATGCACAAACAAAATGCAAACAACACACAAAAAGCATTACATACAGTGTGAGACTCCAGCTCAGATATCTTCTCTGGTTGTCCATTTCCAAAGTAATAAACCCTAATGATGTGATCAGTGCTGCCTGTCGCGAGGAACATCCCACCTGAAATATCATCAAATATTGTTTAACATTACAAAAATGACATCATCATCATCAATAACACAGCATTAATGAGCATAAAAACCAGAAAAAAATCCATCATTAACAAACGTTTTGTCAGTTTTCATGCAGGCACAATCCCGCAAGTATCAGCAATAATCACAATATTGCATTTATAAACAAGAAACTCAAATTGCTCAAATTAATTCAGAACATGTATTACCAAAGACATGAAGAGGAGGGACCCAGAATCTGTTTCTATCTTTGTGTAAGTGTGTATGTGTCTATCTGGGTAAAAGCCAGCTGAGTGTTTCCTTTCTACAGTAATGTGTATTTGAAGAGCCTCTGCAGTGCTGAACACTCTCTTTTTAAAAAGTCTGTGATATCTGTCTGACAACAGGATATTTATAGCTTCACTTGCAGAAAAATTTAAGCCAAAACGATCCGCTGTCACTCTATAATCTGCTATCAGCTTTCAGAACAATGAAAACATGGGAATAAATAATCACTTAATATCACGTTTCTATGGGAGCACATGAATTCATATAATCATGGGCATAAGTCTTAAATATCACGGCTGTCAGTTGATTACAATTTGTAGTCGAATAACAAATTTGCAGATGAATTAATCAAATTAACTGCAATTAATCACATATATAAATATTTGCCTAGAGAAGCCCCAAACTTAAGGTAATAATGGCAAACAAAAGCATTGACAAAGTGAATTAGAGTCAATATTGTTTCTTTTATTTCCATACTATTGACTTTAATTCTATCACTGGCCTACAGTCCACAGCAATCCATTTAATCAATTTTGTCAATCTGTCCAAGAAAGATTTAGGGGCCATTTACACAGGACTGTGCATTACGTTGACAGCCCTAATAAATATAAATGTTCTCACAAGATTTATTTCATTTGCTATCACATACGATATATAAGATCACAACTGTATCATGTCATATGGTAAAGCAGTTATGCAAACTGGCAGATACTACTGATCAGTTTCTCTAAACTCAAAAATGTTTTCCGTCCTATTTCTGAAAACATCATGTTTTACTACAAGCTCAGTGTTGTAACAAAATCATTTGTCACATGGGTTGCTGTGACAGACAGGCTGTGAATGATAAAGTACAACTGATAAAACGGGAGCAGGTAGAGGTGAGAAAAGAGCTTTGACACTTCTGGCCTACCTGCACTAAAAGAGGAACAGATCATCTGCACGCCTGGTCTGGGCCGCTCAATGAATTTGCTGGGACGCTGCCTGCACACACATATAAAGCACACAGAAACATGATGAGTGCCAGAATATATTCTCTTAGTGACCTTATTTAAAGGTGAAAGGTGTCATTTCTGCACTAAAATGGAATTGCAAAAATAATAAATGAAAGATTAAAACACTGAAACATAGGCTATATTTCACATTGGTTCAAAAGAAAATGGCATGCTACAATTCCATGTTTCTCTTTTGCACGAATTCAACTAAACAAAAAGAGCTTTAAATACTTGCTCTGAATAGCAAAGAAAAGATTGCAAAACTTAAAACCCCACAGATGAGTACAAGAATGAAGGAAACGCACCCGAATTTGAGCGTGCGTGCATCCCACTGCCAGAAACAGATGGTGCCGTCAGCTCCAGTGGAGGACAGGAACCTCTTATTGCCACTGCACAGAGGAGAAAACTACACACACAGACACACACACACAAACAGCCGAAACAGGATTACAACACAGTAAATGTTGTCTCTATGAGTGGGTGTGTGATTGTGCATGCCTATATACACTGCAAAACATATAGTATATTGTAAATTTAATGTGAAAGTTTGAGGTCAGTAATATTATTTTATTTTATTTTATTTTTTGAGAGAGAGAGAGAGAGAGAGAGAGAGAAAAATTAATTTTATTCAGCAAGGATGCGTTAAGTTGATCAAAAGTGACAGTAAAGATATTAATGTTTTTTATGTAATCTAGAATAAAATATTTCTATTTGAAATAAATGTTGTTTGATTTTGAACTTGATTCATCAAAGAATCCTGACAAAAACGTATTACAGTTTCCACATAAAGGAGCAAAACTGCTTTATTTAGCATATCAGAATGATTTCTGAAGGATGATATGACACTGAAGACTGGAGTAATGGCTGCTTGAAATTCAGCTTGCCATCACATAAATAAACTACATTTTAAAATATATCAAAATAGAAAACGGTTAGTTTAGCAATATTTCACAATATTATTGTTTTCACTGATTAAATAAATGCTATCTTGGTGAGCATAAGAGACTTTCTTTGAAAGGTAATGAATATTTCTGGCTACTAGAAGTTTCACAGGCATTTTTACAGTAGTTCTGCAGTTTATTATAATTAAGTAACACTATATTTTGACTTGACAGTGGACAGGATCAGGAAGTGACTGTAACGCAACAGCACTGAGCTGTACACACAATAATTAGCCATGTATGCATTATAATAATCTCTGTATATTGTGCCATGCTGGCACTTTGGTTCCTAGCATGCACTGCCGACTGAATAAATTATGTTGTTGTATTGTTTTAGTAGTATATATTTCACTGCTAATTGCAACACTGAATCACATTTTCTGTAAAGCTGCTTTGAAGCAACAAGTATTGTGAAAAGCGCTAATCAAATCAACTTGAAATAAACTATTTTGCTGGCCTGGTTGACAACTCATAATAAAAGTCTGCCTCCTTACAACAGTACTATTTTAACTAGAGTACAATTAAGGTTAATTGTTCATAAAAGATTATGTTTTTGCATTATAACATAAAACAATAAATGGCAATGCTTAGTTTATTTTCTCAATGTACAACCAATTGTGTTCTGTAACATTGGCTGGGAGAAAATTTATTAAAAGGTCCAAGTTCCCAGCCAAAAGGAACATGAATCACCATAATGGTGACTGTTTACGCTATTATCTTGGAATGGTGTGCAATATGGTCGTCTTTCGCAATAATTTATTGTGTTACCACAAAAAAAAGACCTAGACTGCAATTGATTTCACAGTAAAAAAACAACAACAACAATACTATTTTATTGTAAGAAATTACTGTTAAATCTTATACAGAATTCTTTGTAATGGTGAAATTCTCATGCATGTCTCATAACATTGTGTCTGTTGAAATGTGAATGTAAATGAGTCGCACACCTGTAATGACGTGATGGATGCCGAGTGGCCCTCCAGTACCGCCAGCGGGGCGCAGGTCTGCAGGCACCACACTCTGATCATTTTATCACAGCTGCCGGCTGCCAGAAGGGTGTTCTCATAATTCACAGCCATGTCTGAAATCTCTGCCGCATGACCTCTCAGTGTCGCCAGCAAACGCCCGTTATCCGTCGCCCAGATCTTCACCAAACAGTCGTCCGAACCCTGAGGATACACACCACACACGGTAACCCCTCAGACCCTGCCAAAGTTGTGCGTCAGAATGATTTTCAGACTCAGTCTTCCTTCAGAAGTTCTCTCTAGAAAGTTTGGTCTCTGTGCAGCCAAATAAAATCCACTAGAATTTAGTCAAGTGTTTTGCAAGTTAATTAACTCAAGCAGAGATTCCAGCCAAACGTCTGAAGTTAAACCAACATTTTTATCTTTTAGATTTCTACATAAAATGAGCTATTGGATCATGTTAACCAATAGCCAAATAGCTATTTGTGCATAATAATTGAGAACAGACCAATCTTATATAAAAGCTATCTTATGCAAAATGTTACTAATATGCTTGTACTTTATTATTAACAATATCTAACTCTAAATATATTGATTATTGTTTTAAAAATAATGTTTTTATGTATCACCCTGAATATTCATTAACTGTAAAATATGTAGTGGGACAAGTGTTACAGTATTGTTCAAAAGTTTGGGGTCAGTAAGATCTTTTTTTTTAATAAACTGAACATTTTTCAGCAAGGCCGCATTAAATTGCTCAAATGACTGTAAAAACATTTACAATGTTACACTTTTTTTTTTTTTTTAAATAAATGCTGCTTTTCAAAATTCCTGTTCATCAAAGAGTCCTGAAAAAAATTTTTAATTAGCACAACATTGATAATGATAATAATAAATAGATTAAATGTTTCTTGATTTAAAGGGTTAGTTCACCCAAAAATGAAAATTCTGTCATTAATTACTCACTAAATTAGATATTTTTGATGGAATCTGAGAGCTGTCTGACCCTGCATAGACAGCAATACAACTGAAATGTTCCCAAGTCCAAAAATGTAGCAAGGAGATCTGTAAAATAATCCATGTGACATCAGGGGTTCAACCGTAATTTCACAAAACTACGAGAATACTGTTTGTGCGCAAAAACAAAACAAAAAAACAACGACTTTATTCAACAATTCGTCTCCTCCGCATCACCCTGGTGCCTTATTACCTTATTACCCGGCGTGACGCAGCTGACACAGAACAGCATACCCTGTTTATGTCCAGCGGATATTCTCCAAAATGGCACCAGGGTAATGCGGATGCGGAGGAGACGAATTGTTGAATAAAGTAGTTTTTTTTTTTCTTTTGCGCACAAAAAGTATTTTCATAGCTTCGTATAACTGCAGTTGAACCACTGATGTCACATGGATTATTTTACAGATCTCCTCGCTACGTTTCTGAACTTTGGAACATTTCAGTTGTATTGCTGTCTATGCAGGGTCAGACAGCTCTCAGATTCCATCAAAAATATCTTAATTTGTGTTCCGAAGATGAACGAAGGTCTTACAAGGTTTGAAATGACATGAGGGTGAGTAATTAATGACAGAATTTTCATTTTTGGGTGAACTAACCCTTTAACCAAATCAGCATATTAGAATGATTTCTGAAGGATTGTGTGAAACTGAAGACTGGAGTAATGACTGTTGAAAATTCAGCTTTGCCATCACAAGAATAAATGGCATTACATTAAAATATTAAAATAGAAAACAGTTTTAAATTGTAGTTTACATTTTATCAATATTAATTTTTTATTAATATTTATATCAAATATCACACATATTTCAATATTTCATATAACACATATTTAATTTCACTGTTTGTATTTTTGATTAAAAAAATAAATAAATATGGCCTTAATAAACTTAAGTGACTTCTTACAAAAGCCTTAAAAAATTATTTCTAACCCCAAACTTTTGAGTGTATATCATCCCTATGATTCCTGCAGAAACATTACAACTATCTTCCAACACAAATGTTAGTATTTGTTACTAATACTACATTTAGCAAGTCCAATGTGAATTTACTGCAAGGTGAATCAAAAATGCTTTTAACCTAAAAATGCAGCACTGTGGCATTGTATTTCCATGACAACAGGCAGAGGACCATAAAAAAAGCAAGCGCTACCTACAACAACTTCCCATCTTTCATTCACAGCTTGATTGAAAGATGCTTTTCCCCTAAGATAATCAGCTTGCCATTTTCCTCCTCTTTTCGTAAACGTGATTTTAACAGCATGAAAATATCACAGTTGTTTCCAGAAACACTGGAATTAACTGTGATAATAACATTGATTTTAGCAGGCCACACATGCATATCGAATTGAGCAAAGAAAAATGATCCCCAAGCCACACACAGAGACGAACATTCCTGAAGATCTGTTAAACACAGACGGAATGTCAATGACACACTGGCTAATGGCTCAGGAATATGAAAGAGATGATTTTATTTGTGGCTCGCAGCCAATTCCATAAAATAAACACTTTTTTCAACATGCATGTGCGCACAGACACGCCCCCTTCGCCGGGAGAAAAAGACCTATAGAAAGAAAAAAAAGAGAAGGAGAAAACACAGAGAGCCCCCGATCGAAAGAGGAAAAGACAAAGAGAACAGGAGTAGGAGAGAGAGATAGAGGGAAAAGGGAGAGAGAGGCACAAAGAGGGGGAGTAATCCTTGCTGTTCAGCCATTTTTGGAGCATTAAAAACTTGCAGAGTAAAATGGAACCCAAGAGTGCACACTCAAAAACACACATCAGCAAAACACACACAAGCACGATCCTACAGAGCTCTGACAAACGTTAACTACAGCTCAACGGCTGAGAGTGAGATAATGTCCAAGAAATGCCTGAACCAAAACACGTGCACTTACCCACACACACACACACACGCACACACACACAAAATCTTTAAGTTTGAGGACGTGATGATGTCACCAAGCAACAGTATGTTTACCCAGGCGAAACATGTGAACAACCTTTGACCTCTACACTTATCCCAGAGTCAGAACATTATCTGTCCCTGTGAGATCAGAAGGCTCACTGTCTAAAAATACCTGGAAATTAAGAAATGAAGTTTCCAGTGTAGCACAACATCGGACAAAAAAAAAAAGAACTACTCACTGAAATTCCAACAAAGGGCCAGAGTCCGATTTATTAAGGACACACACTAACTGTTCAAATGTTAGGGGTCAGTAAGATCTTTTTTGTATATTTTTGAAAGAATCTCTTATGCTCACCAAGTCTGCATTTATTTGGTCAGTAATACAGTAAAAACAGAAATAATGTATTACAATAACTTTTCTATTTGTAATATTTCATTTTAAAGTGTAATGTATTCCTGTGATGGCAAAGCTTAGTTTTTAGAATTCAGAAATCCATCGAATATTCTGATTTGTGCTCAAGAAACAATTCTTATCAATGCTGAGAAAAGGCTTAGAATTTATAACAGTACAATATTTATAACAATATATTTGTGAAAATATTATAAAAAAAATTAGCATTCCTTGATGAATGGAAAGTTCAAAAAAGAACATTTTTTGTAACATATCTTTACTGTCACTTTTGATCACTTTAATGCAAACTGATTAAACTGAACAAAAGTATGAATAAAAAAAATAAATCTTACTGACTCCCAAGTAGGGCTGCAACAACTAATCGATAAAATCGATTATTATCGATAATGAAAATAATCAACAATAATTCTCATTATCGATTAGTCGTGTCTGCCCACAGTGCACGTCCAACTTCAGCCAGTCGCTTCAAATTATAGCACTGAATAACGCATTTCTATATGGACAAAATGCCTCTAAAAATAGTAGAGGAAATAGAATGAGATGCTGCAGGAGATATAGATGATCCAAGCTGCCCAAAACATGAGAATTATTTATTTTAAGCTTTAAACTAATGTATTAGCAAAATGGCTTTACCTGTCAGGCGCTTTGACAGATGCGTGAACTTTCAGTTTACGGTCATATCCTTATCTCTAAATGTCTCAAATTCACGCGAGCATTTCCATTTTTGCATAAAGGTTCGTCCTGACAGTCTGTGTTAAGTTTAAATCTTTACTGAATAAGCGCCGGCGGCGGAGCACACGGAACACAGTAGAGAGGGAGACAATTAATACTCAGTGCAAAAACATTCATTGTTCTGAAATATCTGTTGTTCAACGTAAAATTTAGGTTTAAAAGTCAACATGTATAGTGAGAGTAGGAACTGCAAAAGGATAACAGCGTGTAATTGTCTGAATATAAATATCAGACACTTCATAGCCGCCTTATACAGGATAAATAAATTAGTGGTCGACCGATATTGGTTTTTTGACAGCCGATGCCGATATCTTGGAAAGCAGGGTGGCCGGTGGCCGATGGCCGATATAAAGCCGATATAATTTTATTTATTTTAATTAATATTTAAGAAATTTAAAATCATTTGAAAATTGATTAAAAAAATAAATGTGTTAAATAAACATACTTATACTTTAGATGACAAAGTATTTTTCACAAATAAATAAATATTTAATAAAAATATAATTAAAAAGGAAGTAAACACTGTAACCAACAGTGCACTCAGTATTCTGGGAAGTTTGTGTGCATTAATCATATTTTTTTCAAATAAAGCCAAGGTAACACTCATTTTACGTACAGCACACAGTGAAAATGACACGAATATGACAGTGGGCAAATGCATAAAGCGCAGTATAATTTAAAATCACGAATTTATAGTTTGTCGATCACGCGTCTCCAGTGAAGCTGAACTCTCCTCCTGTCCGCATTCAATTCACACGGATCGAACTTCACGCAGAGAACAGAACACGCGATCATGCAGGATACAAATGCACACTTCACAAAATCTCACAACTGGATCCAACTAAGTTTGCAAGGTTTTTGAAATTAGATGTTCATTAGACATTCAAAGATTTGTTTAAATTATATAAATGCGTATTTGCTGAATGCTGACGGCAAACAAGAAAGTATTATAATGTTTGCCTTTCTATTACTAATAATATAAAAGCAATCGTTATAAGACTTTGTATACATTTTAATTCCTTTGTTTAACAGTTCTATTGGATTATTAGACAGACTTCTATCCGTATTTAGACAGAACTGTTAACGACAACAGTGAACAAGAGGGAGAATGTGAGCACTGTGTGCTCAGGCACTGCCGCTGTCAGCGCCGTCAAAATAAAAGTCCCACCT